GCGGTATGGGTCCCCGTGGGGCAATACGGAGCCCGCACCCAAGGGGTCTGGCGAGGCGTAGCCCGCGGTCTTGGGGTCGGGTGAGGAGGAGCACAAACCCAAGGGTCGGGCGAGGTGGAGCCCGCAGCCTCAGGGTTGGGCGAGGCGGAGATCGTGCACCTGGGGGTCGGTTGGAGCTGTAGGCGCGCTCTTGACTGCTCGGTTGAATTAATGTTGATGACCATTAACTCCTCCTCTTCAGGTACCCTAGTATTGGTCCCCGACAACAAGCGCTTGGGGCCGATGCTAGATGCGCGCGGCAAGGCGGCGCCCGAGCGGTGGACCAATACACAGCACAGACCGTTCCTCTTTTTATCTGTTATTAGGTGAGTTTCTTCATAATCCATCTCCTTGCTGCAACGAATTGGAATGGATTTGTGGATAGAATGCCTTGGTGACTGGCTCCACAATATTATTGGGAGGTCAACGGGCTCAAGCTTTTGCCTTTAATTGGCTGCAAAAAAGATCTATTGTTTAGAGCATGGCAGTTCGAGGAAGAAGGTTTCTACACTTTTAAATGCTGATGAAGTGGTAATAGATAAAAATGTAGAATTTCAAGTTTGTGTAAATGTCCTTTCAATCCTAAACTGAAGTAAGAATATAATCTCAGTACCACTCATCTAACATTCCGGTGAATAAGTAACACATATTGATAATCGATAATTTATGAGAGAGAGAGAGAGATAATATGCACTAATTCTAGGTAACTATAACTCGAAAGTGAGTATGTGAGAGAGAGACAAAGTTAGTAGCCCCTCTATGAAGTCAATGTTTGCTCAGCATTGAAAATTATTACGTGTGTTTGCTGAAAGGAATAATTTAAGATTATATCCATTGCTGACTTATTTTCTGCTTATTTTCACTGCTAATAATGTAGCTCATCCTGGTAATTCTTACTTGCATGGTCGACATTGGCAGACCAATTAGATACAATCATACAAAGTCTCATTTAATTTTGTTTCCTGAGTTTTAGCAATACTCCAAACTAGGTTTGGGCTTAGAGGTGCTGCATTTACTGCTACTAATCCATTATCCGTATAGAGACCATATGGATATTCTTGCTGCTTTGCTGGGATGGAACCTCTAAGCTATTCATATGTTAGCATTCGATTCATAGGCCTGAGCAAAGAAATAAAAGACAGATTTGGAAGAGAATTGTTATGTAGCCAACACATGGACGGTATTGCCCTTATAACAGTATTTTGCAGCCCCTATGTGTATCTCCACGCACTGCCGATGGTACTGTCCATGCAGTGCACATAGATTGAAATTTCTACTTATATATATAGTAAGTGGGTACGTAGCAGTGACCTTAGATTTTAGATTATGCCATTATAGTATAAAATGATATTAAATATATAAAGATGTTCTTTGCCTCCTTACTACTAGACAGTAAAGCATTAAGAATTTCTACCAAATTGATCTAAGTATTACATTCAAATTTAATTACAGCTTAAATTTCAGATTGAATATTATTGCTAGGATGTTAATTGCAGGCTTGTTGAAGATTAGGGCCAATGGGGCCAGGATGGAAGTGGCCAGGATAGATTATTATTTCCTTTTGTATTCATGCTAAAAAGATCAATGCTCTAATATACAGTGAAAATAAATCTTGCTTATGTTTTTAGTTTTATTGTGGCAAGGATTAAATCCTGATTTAGTTCAGTTTCTTTTATCTTAGGATTCTTGTGGAGCTATAAGGATCTGATGGAGATTAATCGGTATGTATGACCATAGCAGCTCATATAATTCCTGAGACTGACCAAAACATTATTAAATCTTATTGCAGTTAGACAAAACCGACTTCTGCTGAAAAAAGCTATGTGCTGATTAAAATAAGCAATCATTCTATTTCTTTATTGAACTCTACTATGAAGATTCCAAAAAAACTAAGCTTTACAGTGACAAAAATTACTTAAAGTATTAATCAAGTGAGGTATTTCTTCCTCATTATGTTTCAATAAGACATTATCTCCTGCTGTCTTGCTTAATTGCACTACATCTGAAGCAACCTCAATTTTTTTTAATTTTTAATTTTCATTATTTTGACTCCTCTTATGGTTGATTAACTTGTAGTGCAGTGGTATTACTGTTCCAATATCACTACTTGTCACAAGTTGTCCTTAAATATTCGTGATATGTCATCTTGTCAGGCTCTTTTAAATCTACAAAAGAGGCAATGGACAAGATCTTGGCTTCGGAAGGAACTATTATATTGGCTCTTTTAAACATTGTGTTTTCATTTTGTTTGCAGCCATATCTTGTTCATGTCAATACTTTTTCTGAAGAAAATCTTTATGCTCACACATTTTCTTGTGCAGTTAACCATAGCTTCCATACTGCAAGTACAAGCTCCACGTGATACCCCTTGAAACAGGAAAGGAACAGTCCTTTGTATTTCTTGTTAACAACAAGAGGAAGATCTATCAGGTAGTTATATCGAGCTTGTGTTTGATTTCAATTTGTTTTTCTTGTTTTTTTTTCATTTGGACTCACTTGCCTGTTTAGGTTAAGCAAATTAGGCATGGCACAGAGGTAAAGATCGACTTGACGGTGATGGAAAGTCTTCTCTTTGGCCACAATATTTCACGAGTTTATGACCTCAAAGGCACTTGTTTTTTCACGATGCGTCACTGCCCTGGTCCAGTGATTAAGAAGCAAATCATGGTGAGTTGGCCTCTTTTCTTTGTTGAGTTGAGTGCATATATGAAAATTTTGGAGAGCAATTTAGGTTAGCTTTCCATAGATCTATTTGGACAGTAATTATTTAAGTTCTTGATATCTATTTTTGTAGATGACACCACCACACAATAATGTTGTTGGTCATTTGGTCCTTATGGCAACAAGGCCAGGAGACATAATTTTTGACAAAATTTAAGGCACTTTTTTTGTTGCCGTTTTTGTAGTGTGCTCTTAATCCTATGCTTCTGTGTTCTGATAGTCCTGTGTTAAGACCAAAAATTGACTTTCCAAAAATTGACGAGGCACTATATTCGAGCGGTGATATGGCAGCGATAGGAAATGCCCTGGAAGGAGAGGACTCTGAGCATAGCTCAAAGGTGTTTCTTTCCTATTCTTGGAGAAGAGATGGCTGGTATTTTGGTTTTCTTTAATGTGACTGTAAGACATAGCTGCCATATCAAGGTTTGCAGTGTGATTCATCAGAACCTAATTCTGTGATTCGGTTTGCATTTGTGGGCTGATGGTGATGACCTTCAGTTATCTCAAGAAGACTATGCATCGACGCTGAGGAGGAGTACTCTTACATCAGGATGTGTTCACTTAAGCAAGACAATTTTATATATGTATATCCAGTATGGACTATGGAGCTCTGCGCTGCAGAGGACATCTCAATAGAGAAGTAGTTACTAGGCAATGGAATTAAATTTGTGACAATTATGTTTGTCTGTGTGAAAAGTGTCGCATGAATTTTAGGTTGCCTGTTAATAGACTTTTGGTTGTTTGATTTGCATTACCTAATTAAACCGTAGCGTTAGCACGGGCATTATACTAGTCCATATATCGTCAGGTTTCTCCACAGAGCGGGACACTATACCTGGAGCTGGAAGCTGCATCCAGGAGTGTGCGAATTCAAGGAGAAGCTGTCACTGTGATGACCGGTACCCTCTTAGCCTAGCATCTTCCTCTTGTAAACTTGGAGATTTGAAGGACGATAGTCGATAAATCTGTGCACGAGTTCAGCATTATTAGTAGGCAACATATCAGGTGCAAACCAACCAATCTGTGCAAACTTAAAAACTACCAATCAGGACCATTAGATGCTGATCCAATGGATGGGGTGAGGGGGCTTAAGCGCAAAAAAATCCTACCTCTCACCCCATCCATTAGATCAGCATCTAGTGGTCCTGATTGATAGTTTTCAAGTTTGCACTGGTTGGTTGGTTTGCACTTGATACGTTGCCTTATTAGTGTATGGAAATAAAAGGTCCTATACTTTTCTGGAGCATTGGAATATAGTTTCAGTACAACCATGCTAGAGCATTGGAATATAGTTTCAGTACAACCATGCTGGCATAAATTACCAGTTCCTGGTTTGTCATTTCTCACTGTACAATACCAGAATGGCAGGAGGGAGCTGTGGAGTATATACAGCCTTGTTCGAGTTTCTCGTTATGCTGAAACTTGAATCAAGGGATCGATAATAATTTGGCAGAACTGTGGCTAGAAAAAGAGAAAAATGATGCTCAAGTCAAATCCATATCGTGGCTGTGTGGGTTGCTTTTGTAAGCCTAGAGCATGCATCTCTGGCAAACTGATTATCATCAGCTTGATTTTTCATGCAAAACCATATATTACTTCTTGTTTTATGACATTTAAGCTAGTAAGTGCATTTAAAAAAAAAACGCACAAGAGCTGCACATCATTACATTAAGAAGAAGAGCATAAAAGTAAAGTGAAAATGGAAGTGAAAAAAGAAGCAAGACCATCCAATAATGAAAGCATCATCTGGAATGATTCTAACAGGAAGGCATCATATGGAACGATGGATTTAACAAACTATTTTAATGATGCATTTTTCCATAAATAAAAGTCAAGTTAAAAGGTTTGATCCGGATAAATAAAACTAAAACGATACACGTTACGTAGCTAGACGTGGGATTAGAAACTTGAACACTGCCATGTTCAACTTTTAATTGAGTATGGGACTTATCGCACATCATGAATGGGACGTTCTTCTTCATGAGAATGACCATAATTGTTGATTTGTAACATCTAAACTTCCATTGTAGCAAGCATAGGGAAGCAGAAAATAGCAGGAGCTCATGCAACAGTACCAGCAGACAGGTCCCATGTTCTGTAGTCTAACATCAAATAATTTCTTATTGGATACAATGAACAACTTGAGAAACTCAGCTGGTACGAACTCTCAAGTTGCACCTCACAGCTTGTCCTGAGCACCAATGCCTCATATGCAATACGTCGTAATCTTCCAGATGAAATTAATTGTCTTCTGGAAACCATCCCATCCAAGGTGTGTATGGAAAAGACTCTTGTATAAATGGCTGAATGCCCACCTCTGTTCCATAATTTGTTGGACGGAGGTTGCCCAAGTCTTGAATCTTTGAGCTATTTAAGTGGTAGGCCAATCCTCTTCTCAACGTATCACTCAAGAAGATAACCTCCTTGTAAGGGTGAAATCCAAGAAAATCAATATAACCACCAGAGTTATATCTGCCCCTCCTTTTGGTGTCAACAAGAAAATTAATATAACCACCAGAGTTATACTTGCCCCTGCTGTTGGTCTCAATAACATTATCATTGTCTAAGTCCCATTCAAACCTGTCCTCTACCACTGCCTCATTGTTACCATCTTCATACTCAAATCCCTGCTCCTGATTGTTAATATCTTGTAAAGTCCAGGGTCCAGGCCCGTCAATTATTTGACATGGCTGAATACTACACGAATCCTTGAATACCCACTCCATTTTGCCACTCGATTCATCAAGAATATAGATCGAAAAACGGGATGCCAAGTGATGCACAGCACAGAACACCCCTTTCACTGATTTTCCCAAATAAAGATTTGTGTATGCCATCCCCTCACAATCTAAAGGTGGCTTGATTACTTGATATTTCCCATTGGATAATGATATTCTACAAGAATCAAATATTGGAGAAATATTAATAAACGACAATTGAATTTTCGTTTCATTACTAGGTACAAAGATGAATGCCAATGCCAATGAAGTGAGTATTTACCTCATAACAAACTTGTTTTGGCAATATACATAAAGTACTCCCCGCCAATAGACAGAAGTGTCTGGAACATATGGGTGATCCAACCGCATGTCAGCAACATTCCCTGCAGCCTCCCCTTCTTGAACAAACGACCTCTCCTCCCACACCTTTGTCCTTGATGAGAACACATGCAGGATGCAAGGCGACGGTGGCCATTCTAATTCCTCTATTGCAGGGTCTAACTTGTCATTTGAGTTCAACATGTTATACCTCACATTGGGTCGTCGGATCTCAGGGATCATGAATACCTCATAATGCAGTGACAATGTGGGGTCGAAGACAAGGTACTCCCTGTGTAAAAAGTGCTCTACGACCATATTTGGGCTTGGGCATGGGGGCAGTGGCGCCGACTGTCGTGTGGCTGGGTTAACCACATACTTGTGAAACAAGAGAAGCCCATTGCAGTGGCCTATGATGCGGGAGCTGAGAGGCAAATGTTGGAATGATCTCCCAGCCAATAAGCCCAACGGCCTATTGGGCCTTGGTCACGCGCCCTGATTGGGGGCGCCCAACCCTACATGGTTGGTGGGCCCCCGTCGCACTGCGCTATATAAAGTGGTGGGGCTGGCGGCTCATAGTACGAGGTTCACCGTGAGCCACTCCGCCCCACCAACAAACCCTATGTCCGATCTCGAAGAGGGTGCACAGCCAGCGACGGGAATCCGCCACCGTCATCACCGTCGGCTCACTGCACCGCCACTGTGTCGCCGAACTTCACCAACTCTTCTCCGACCATCGCTGCCCGTGCGCAGAACGTCACCGACCGAACGAGATGGTCGGATCCTCCTCTACGGCGCCCTCCGATGGTCTGTACACTCCCATCCGCTCTCCCCTCTCTATTATTCTGTAGTACGGTTCATTAGGTTATCTACTTGTTCATCCCAAATAAAAGAATTACCCGACTAGATGCTACTCTAGATGATCTTTGGGATCTAAATGATCTTTGGGATCTAACAATGGTATTAGACGCCTATCTAGTTCATAGATCTGGATCGGGGAAAGAAAAGCAAATCGAACCCTTACCCTAGATCGGGTACGGGAAAAGTGGACACGTTTTCAACAAAGAACCCTAACCCTAGCAGTTCGCCAACCTAGGGTGTAGATCTAGGGTTTCCGAATCAAAAGCAAAGAAAAACGAATGAAAAGAAAAAGTGGAGTTCGAATTCGATTCGGATTCAATAGAAACAAACCCTAACCTTAAAGATAGGGAGCCTACCTACGCTTCCCTCACCGCCGGCGGCATCACCACCGCACGGAAAGAACACCGCGGCGTCGCTCCCGAACGGCGCGCGGGACAGAGCAGATATCCGCACTGCACCTCGCACGCGCGGTCACGGCAACAGGGCACCACCATGCGGCCCCTCGACGGCGGTGTGCTCAGCCTCGGGCAAGCACGCACACCAGCGAGAGGGCGCTGGGCGGAGCCCCTTTTCTTCTCCCTCGGCCACCATGGACGGCTGCCGCTGCGGCTGTTCTACGAGCAGCGCTGCGCGATGAGAGAGAAGGGGAGGGAGAGAATGAGATAGGGTTTCATGGGTGCGGCGGCCGGGGCGTTTTTTTGTTTCGCCCGACTCACGCGGACGACCGTCGGATCGCATCCGGCGGATGGCAGACACCCAGGCCGGATTTGGCCCATTCGGGTGGACAGAATCGCGGCCCAGGCCCACGTTAAGGCCTGGGAGCGGGGGAGCCGCGCGCGCTATTTGGGCCGCACAGGAACTGGGCCGCGAGTGCAGCAGCGCAGGCCGCGTTGGGCAAACTAGCTGCGGGCCACGCCAGGCATCGGGCCGAAATGGCCAGATAAATAGTAATTTTATTATTTTCCAGAAAACAATTTGATGCATATTAGATGAATTTGAATTGCATTTTGATGCAAATCTCTGTATAATTTTGTTCGGAGAAAAGTATAGTATTTTAAGACTTTCTAGAAAATAGAATTAATAGATTTATTAATGTTTCCACTGCGCATTTAAAGTTGTTATGGACTTTTAATTAAATTTAAACCAACGGGAGAATTTGATTTTAAGAGCCAAGAAATAAATATGAGTTGATTATGATATTGTTATTTTCTGACCAACGTTGTTAATAGCAATATTATGATTTTAATGATTATGCATTATTTCTATTTCTGTCCAACGGTGATGTAGATTTAATGTATAAAACAATTGTATGTTTTAATTTTGACTAACGTTGAAACTAAGGCATGCAAATTGTTGTTTTTTTATATTATGTTCTCACTTTAAAGAGAAATTGTGTTTTCAGGAGGATACTCCTTGATGGCTTATATCAAAGATATCCCATCTCTCAAAGGGGATAACTACATTGAATAGAAGAAAAAGATCGACTTGGCCTTCATCTTGGCTGAGGTTGACTGGGTAGTCACCACACCGTGTCCCAAAGAACCTGTGGCACCGGTGAGGGAGACTGATGCTGTATGGCAGAACAGAGAGCGGGACTTTGCTCCCGTAAAGATGTCTTTTGACCTCGAACATAGAAAGTGGGTCACAGCCAATAAAAAATATTTGGCTGTGATAAAGAATACAATTGAGCCTGCAATAGTGGGTTCAATTCCAGACTGTGACACGGTCACAGAGTACCTAGAAAGAATAAAGAGTCAGTTCACTGGCTCTTCAAAGACATATGCAACCCAGCTGATTAAGCAGCTGGTGACAGAAAGGTACTCTGGTGGCGGCAGTGGCATAAGAGAGCACATACTGAGAATGAGCAATTTGGCATCTAAGCTCAAACCAATGGATTTGGCGCTCAAGGATGAGTTCCTTATTCATTTGATTTTTGCTTCTTTGCCAAAAGAATTTGACACCTTTGTTGTTAATTACAACATACAGTCCGAGAAATATGATTTAGAAAAGCTCATAGCCATGTGTGTGCAGGAGGAGGAAAGAATAAAAGTTTCACAGGGTGGTACTATCAACTACCTAAAAGATAATAAGAAAAAGAACTATAATAACAGTTCTTCCTCCAAGTCACCTAGAAAGGGTCCCATGCAACAGTCTCAGAACAAGCAATTCCCAGTGGATAAAGATCAATGTCTCCACTGCAAGAAGATGGGACATTACAAGAAAGATTGTCCCGATTTCCTAAAGTTGATTATGAAAAAGAAAGGTGAGACCATTATTACGTTTGTAAATGAATCCTTGTATGTTAAGTTTTCAAAATCTACTTGGTGGATTGATTCAGGTGCAACTATTTATGTTGCTAATTCTTTACGGGGATTCCGTTCGATGAGAACTTTGCAAAGAAGCGAAAGTTTCATTAAAGTCGCAAATGGAGTACAAGCAAATGTTGAGGCCGTTGGTGATCTTCCGCTAGAGCTTGTTGATGGCTTCATACTCTTTCTTAGAGATGTTCTTTATGTACCTTCTTTGCAAAGAAACTTGATTAGTGTTTCAAAGTTGGACCACGATAGTTATGATTGCCATTTTGAAAATGGCAAATGTCAGATATTGTTTAATAATAGATGTATTGGTCTTGCCTTTCGACAAGACGAGCTTTATTTGTTATCACTTCATGAAAATGTGAATTTCGTATGTGATGTGAATGACAAAGTATCCTCATCGAACAATGCAAACAGAAAACGAAAGAGAACTCTTAATGTATCGTCGAAATTATGGCACTGTCGTTTAGGCCATATTTCGAGGGGGAGAATAGAAAAACTAGTTGAGAATGAAATTCTTCCTCCATTGGAGTTCTCTGACTTAGAGCAATGTATAGAATGTATTAAAGGAAATTATGTAAAGAAAATTAAAAAGGATGTCAAACGAAGCACAGGAATTTTACAGATAATTCACACAGACATATGTGGTCCTTTTCCTATGAAAAGTGTGGATGGTTATGATTCATTCATAACATTCACAGACGATTACTCTTGTTTTGGCTACATTTATCCAATTAAAGAAATAACAGAAGCGTTGGATAAATTCAAAATATTTAAGGCAGAAGTTGAAAATCATCATGATTTAAAGATTAAGATAGTCAGGTCTGACCGTGGAGGGGGGGGGAGTACTACGGTCGGCATACCCCATATAGACAAGTTCCTGGACTTTTTGCAAGGTTCTTACAGAAAAATGGTATAGTCGCCCAATATTCAACACCGGGCGAACCTCAGCAGAATAGAGTAGCTGAAAGGCGTAACCGTACCCTGATGGATATGGTGCGTAGTATGATAAGTTACTCCACCTTACCGTTGAGCCTGTGGATGGTGGCGTTAAAAACCACCATTCATATTCTCAATAGAGTACCAAGTAAGTCAGTGCCCAAAACACCGTATGAGTTATGAACAGGAAGAGTACCCTCACTAAACCACTTACGTGTGTGGGGGAGTCCTGCTGAGGCTAAAGTATTTTACCAAATATTGGGAAGTTAGATCCCAAAACAGTAAGTTGTCATTTCATTGGCTACCCAGAAAAGTCAAAAGGTTTTCGTTTCTACTGTCCAGATAGACATACAAAGTTTGTGAAAACAAGACACGTAGTCTTTCTAGAGGATGAAATGATGAGGGGGAGCATGGTAGCTCGAGAAATTGATCTTGAGGAGAAACGGGTGTATGCACCCACTCCAATAGTTCATGAGCCATTTTTTGAGTTACCTGCTGCTGCTACGCCTACAATGCAAGATGTTGTGGTGCCAGCACCTATTGTTATTCCTCCTATGGCAACAACAAATGAGGATGAGGAACCCATGGTTCAGAATCCTACAGAACCTATTGCCACACATGAGGGGGAGCAACAACAACCTCAAACAGAAAATGTGCCAAATGTGGAGGCCCTTAGAAGGTCTCAAAGAGTTAGAAGATCAGCTATTTCTGATGATTATAAAATCTATAATACTGAAGAGTTTCAAATGGAGGGTGATCCCACCTCGTATGAAGAAGCCATGAGAAGCGAACACTCATCAAAGTGGTTGAAAGCTATGAAAGATGAAATGGAATCTATGAGTTCCAATGGTGTTTGGGATTTAGAACAAATTCCTAAAGGAGCCAAAATAGTAGGCTGCAAATGGGTCTACAAAACAAAATATGACTCCAGAGGGAATATAGAAAGGTTTAAAGCACAACTTGTGGCGAAAGGTTTTACACAAAGAGAGGGGATAGATTACAATGAAACATTCTCTCTAGTCTCATGTAAGGATTCTCTCAAAATTATAATGGCATTAGTGGCACATTATGATTTAGAATTACATTAGATGGATGTAAAGATGGCATTCCTAAATGGAGATTTAGAGGAAAATATTTACATGGCACAACCAAAAGATTTTGTTGTAGAAGGAAAGGAAAGAATGGGTTGCCGCCTAAAGAAAT